TAATATTCGATTATAATTGTGTGAATTATTCCCTTTTAAATTACGGTCCTGGAAATTGGTTGACTGAGTTGAATAAAAACACAATAGCAATTTTCACGTCTCCCTATGTACCGTAGAGTTTTTCGAGAGTTTTTTTCATTTTTAGGTACCTATTCATATTTTTTCCATTGCTCTGAGCATTTTCTACAATGAACTTCGAATAAGAAAACCTTTTATGATTATCTGAAACATATCTACAACAAAAATATATTATATGTGTTTTGATGAGCAGAAAAGAAAATGGTAGCAATAATAACATCCCAAACGAACATTATAATCATAATGAAAATTGAAATGAAGTAAGTAATTTATATCCACAAAAATTGTGCAATAAATGTTCGAATTGGAGTCCTTCCATTTCGAGGAGAATAATGGGACAATAAGATGGTCTGCAAGGTCACCAGATCTTACTATTTCAGACTATTTTCTATCCAGAATCAAAAGAGCTATATTCGATTTATTTACATCATTGAATAGATCCCTAAAATACACAACTTTGCCAAAATCCAACCGACACTCTATCTCTTATCGTTTACGAGATCCTCATGTACAAAAACGATTTTGAATAGCCCTGTACAATATGAATCCATATATATCACCATATATAAAATACAATTGCAAGAGAAACAAATATGGTTTTCACGAGCAGAAGCCAATTAGTGTTCTTTTTTCATTTCCACCCTTCCTTAAAATGCCTCAGTATTTCTAATACATTTGATCCGTACTGGTTCAAAAAATGTTTTATTATTTTCAACCCCTTTTCTATTGTATACTGATGACGGATTGAAAAATATCCACCTTGTTATATAGAAATTCAACAAATCGTATAAATGAATGAAAACCTTAGCGTAATACTCTCACCAATAGAGAAATAACTGAATAATTTTTCCACAGGTTATCTACATACCTCAGCCTCAGCCAAAATGCGTTTATCAATCAGTTTGGCCTTATGTAGCCTGCGGAATACAAAAATCTGAAACTTGTGGTGGATGTTACTCTCACTACGTCGATCAGTCATCCACAGCTTACGCGACTTGCCCTTCTCAATGCTACGATCAGGGATATGGATTAGGGCCAATGTACAGGCAGGGCCCATTCTATCAAATGACGTACTCTCACATGCCTTGTTATCAATGCCTGGGGCTCCAGCCTCCCTACGGTTTGGAAATGACGGGATTTGGAAGTTACGCAGGAGCACCAGCTTATGGCGGTGTCCCAGGTTTTGTCGGAGTTCCAGCTTATGGAGGTATTTCCAGCCAAAGTGGTTTTCCTGTTTATTCACAAGGTATTTTTTTCTAACATGATTCATTCCTTTTCAAAATAGTTTTTCACTTTGCAGACAGATGTAAGTTATTGCATGAGAACCAAAACTTTCACTGAACGGTAAGATGATGAAATTTTGGACCTATCAATGAAACAAAAAATCTTTTCGATACATTCAAATCGTTACACTTTTGTCGTTGTACGTTTCCAAGCTGGCGCTATAAGGAGTTGATCTCCTGAATTTATAACTCATATCAAGATATGAGATGAAGGGTCTACTTCATCTCCTGAAAACTCCAACTCGATTGTGGAAATGCGACTCGAAAAAAGCGTTGTAGGCCTGTTGTTCATGAGCAGTGCTTGTTTCTAACCTGCATAACAGGATGCACTAAGAAAAGGGATTAACATAAACCCATTCGAATTGACTTTAGTATCATCGACCAAGAGGACCAAAATTAGGGGATGAAGACCTCTACAGCTATAATAGAGGTTGAAAACCTTACTTAGAATCATCACTGATATAGGATCACTAGGATGGCGGAGCTACTGCCATAATCAAACTGAGCAGTATGCAAAAATTTTTTGTTTTAGAATAACCGAAGCAACTGAAATTACATCAACAGCAGAATTGGAAACCTTCTTGAATCTACTTTCTTCACATCTTGCAATGACGTGAAAGACAAGATTGGTTCAATTCAAACTGCAAAATTTATTAAGCCATAAGGGATCTGGCAAAATTTGAATTTCAGAATGAATAGAGAAACGAATAACTATCAACCAAGTTCACGAAGGCAACAAAATCCTTCATGTTGAAGTCGCAAACCCTGAAGAGTGGATAATGAACAATAATTCGAGAAGATGCTCAACAAGAACATCTAGTATTCACATGGCACAAAATCGAACGAAGGACAAGATCAGGAATACTAGTTTAATGTGGGGAAAAACTTACATCACAACCATGCGCTCCCTCAATGAACGTCCTTATTCTAAACAATTGTATATGCAATCTTGTGATTTTGCAAGTCAATATTCCCACAGACATTGGGACATTGATAAATCCAAAAGTGAAAGGGATACTGGTCTTGGAATGTAGTGAAAAACTGATTAAAACTCGTGAACCAAATATATTGACTATTAGGTTCATGAACACTCAAAAATCATACCCAACGACCTGGTGTGGAACCAGATCAGAAAACGGGTCGATAAGAGACAAATACTGTGTGAGGTACTCGAGAATATTTCTATGAAGTGACTATCAAGCTTTCACGGTAATCTCTTGAAACTGTTTGTAGTCTTGGATTTTGATGTCCCGGTCCGTTGATTTTTTTGATAACTTTTGGATCATATCTTCAGAGGTTTGTGATATCCCTTCCAAGGTTAGAGGTCATTGGTGGGCTCGTGGGCCTAGCTCATTTTATGAGCTAGCTCATTTTATGACCAATCAAGTGCGGATGGTTTGGCCAGTTCGATCTGCTTAGTTAGTTCAGTTGGCACAGACGTTCCGGAAATTCCAACTGCATTAATTTTCCGTGAAGTTTTGTAAATCTTCATTCGTCCTTTTGTCCAGTTGAAACTGTGGTCATATCTATGGATTTCAATTGCCTCACGAAATAAAAAGCTTGATGACTTTTCGAAACATTTGCTGCTGCTACAGCTTATTTTTCTATGTATTCTCTATTTACATCTACAAATATGTAAAGAGTGATCATCATAACTTTCCTCTTAATTCTTATTATCACGACTGCCCAACTCGATCCTCGAAATTTATTAGGCCTCCTAAACATGGAACTAGTATGTATGAGAGAAGCCCAATTTACAAAGGAATTCAATTTCTGAATCATTTGCCTGCCTGTATAAGATGGGAAGACAACATAAATGTTTTCAAAAGAAAGCTTTACAACTGTCTATGCGATGAATGTTACTATGACATATCAGTCATAACACTTGGTGTCCTGGGTAATTAATAAAAAAAAATCTGTTTGAAATCTGTTTTTCCGTTAATCAGCTGTCGCCCTCATACGAACGACAACTCTCAGAAGTTGAGAAACTTGTGCGAGTTAAGGACTAAGGAGGTCTTACCTTTTAACGTGTGATTCCTAACTTAGTTAGGTCCGAAATTATTCCAATATTGTCCTTTCATCTGATTGTATATATTCAATATGCGCTGTTTTCTACTTGAATGTTTCAATATCATGTAAATATGATCTGGCTGGAATGAAAAATCCATTATTATTATTATAGTCTATTAATATTGAGCCACTTATGTACTAATATAACGCTCAATTGTCCTAGTATCTACTTTGTCATATTAACATGAAATAATGTGAAACCCAGGGTTTCCTTCTGCCCTTTGCTGACCTTAGGTAATGCTGTACAATTCAACCGACACTCTATCTCTTATCGTTTACGAAATCCCCATGTACAGAAACGAATTTGAATAGCCCTGTATATTGTCTTGATGTCATATTCTTCAAGGAGGCGACCAATCTTGTCGATTACTTTTGGGGTGAAGGGTAGAAAGGCATTTTTAGTTGGCTCTTGATTTGCCTTACCTCTAAGATTGACTTTCATTGCCATCTCGAACCACATGGCCTCAATCCAAAAATGTATGATATAATACTTTAACTGAACCACATGGCCTCAATCCAAATATGTATTCTCTTGGCTATAAGCCTATTTTGTTTTATATAAGTCAAATATTAAAAATGTGCCATGTACTTATTTTGATACTTCCTGTTGCCTGACAAGTGAACATTGATGATGACGCAAGTCGAAAGCGCTTTGCAAGAATTTCAAAAATTATACACTTTTAAACAAAAACCTCTTTGATTCATTCATTCAATGGGTGTATTCAGCTTTCCAAATCTATATTTTCCTTGTTCTTCATATCCTTTCAGATTATTTCCGTTCGTTTCATCAATGTTGTGATTATTTTTCTTTTCTAATTAGGGTGTCGGTTTAAGCGGGCATGTGGGTCACCTTTCTATATTATTTGTGATCTGAATAGTTTCCGTCTCTTTCCACCAGAACATCCAGGAATGCTAAATATCTTTTAGCCTTGATCTCCATTGTGAACTGGACATTTGGGTGTTGACTGTTCAGATGTCCCAGGAAATCATTTATACTTTACTCGCCGTGTTTCCAAATGAATAATGTATAGTCGGCATATGAGTACCAAATACGTTAGCTACAATAGAGGTAAGGGGACTTCTCATGCATACCTCATCAAGTCTCCCGTAGAAATACTTCAACTTGTTAAAAAAATATTATCCTGAGTGGCAGACTGAACAGCTCGATGTGAATAGATTCCTGCTTAGTTTCAAGGAGTTCTTCAAAAACATCTTAGTGGAAAGTAAGAAGACGTAGAGCTGACTAGATGTCTCCCTCCTATAATCTAATTCCTTTGAGTTCATCACGACACTTCTCAAAGAAGTTAACTCAAATATTTTGGTTCCCAAAGAAAAAATCAAAGTTTTGAAAATATTTTTTTGACTATGATACTTGTTTGATATACAGTGAGTTTCAAAAAGTTTGCACCATATGGAAAAAATGTATTATCCATTTGTCAGAAAATTTTATTCTTGATGAAAATTTGTGCATTGTGGGAAACTTGGATTTGAGTTGTCAAAATTCTAAAATTCCGAATGGTGTACAGGGGACAACAAAAATAGAAATTTTGATCAGGAGTACCCTCATTTTCTTTCTGATGCTGAGTCTATAGAAGAGATGGGTGTCGAGCTCACAACTCCAACTGACCTCCCTGTAAATTTAGATCAGGAGCGAGTCTACAGAGGAGATGTATGTCGAGTTTACGGCTCTAACTGACCTCCCTGTAAATTTAGTTCAGGAGCGAGTCTACAGAGAAGATGAATGTTGAGTTTACGACTCCAACTGACCTCCCTGTAAATTTAGTTCAGGAGCGAGTCTACAGAGAAGATGAATGTTGAGTTTACGACTCCAACTGACCTCCCTGTAAATTTAGTTCAGGAGCGAGAGCTTCTCAACTCCCCAACTCCTGATCCAATAACTGAACCTAAAAACAGATTTGGTGGTGCAGCCAGGAAACTACTGAGTCGTCTCCTTAAGAGCGGTGTGCCTTATAAAACCGCCTTGCACCAAATTCTTGAGCGGCGTACGCAGAATCTGTCTCAGGTGGGGGAACAAACCCCCATGAGCAGGTTAGCAAATGTTTGTGCTCAAGTGATGATTCACCAAAACCAGAGACGAAAAAGCCCTGCACGGTTGAATCTAAGGCATCGTCAGGTATAGCTTACGTGCAAGAACTCTCATATGGGAAGCTTGTCGTGGGTATCAAGGTGGAAATATTGCATCTTGACTAACCAACTACCTCATTAACGATGAAACAGCACAGCATATACTTTGTACCTGCCCCGCTGGGGACCGAATCAAGTTTTTAAAGTTCGTGAATAGGTGTGAGCCACAATAAACCCTCGTGGGTTGCGGTGGAAGGTCGAATAAACCCACTCACTTTGGACCTAACCTAACCCAACCCTTATTTTCAACATTACTAAAAAAGTCTATTTATGGGACTTGTTTGAATTTGAAAACTAATAATAAATGATTTTATTGAAAGATTACTCAGTACAAGATATACTAACCGAATGGCAGAATTCAATATCTGCACATGATAAACCAAGACAGATACTGATCTTTCATCCAACCACGATGTTTCGTTTTTTTTTCAACTGTCAGAATTGTAAAATTCACAGTCGATAATTAGGTATCATACCTTTATCGAGATCTCTATGCAAAGATACGAGTTTTTATCAATTCCTAAATTCAGAGAAATGGACTGAAGCTTTACTCAGCTGCCTTTTGATTTCAGGACCTCAATTACAATACCCCTTCGACCCAAAAGCCAATGCAAGTGTGCAACCATTATCAAGTGACGGGCAAATTATCAACCCCGAATTCGTTCTTGAGCAGATACCGATACCAATCAATCAAACCCCTCAGCTCGATAATATAAGAGATCAGAGAGAGATTGAAATCGAAGTGAACTATGAGCCACCTTCTGATGCCCAGGCTGAAGTGAAGATCAAGAAAAATGATATCGAGAAGGAAGTGACGAAAAATGAAACACTAGAAGTTTCTAACGTTGAAATCAACAAAACACTTTCATAACCATACTCGTTAGATTGTATGAAAGTATTGATCTTACTTGTATTCAGTTCTCTTTGTGAAATATTGTATAATTGAAAAAGATAATTTCTGACAATAAATATCAGCTATGCACCATGATTTTCAATATTCTTTAACTCCGGCAGACAGTAATCAATTGTAATAATTTTTTTTTTAATTTGAAAATATATTTCAATATGAAGTAATAAAAATTGATTGGATTGATTCTAGTGGCGCATTTGTTTTTTTAGCTGCAGGATAACCCGGAAAAACCTGCAGCACATCATCTGAAGATCTTGATCTGCCAATGTTCTCTCTTTCATAGAATAAAATGTAGGGTGTCTCTAAATGTTTTAATAAATTCATGATATTGCCAGAATATTTAGTGACATGACTATCGTCAAACTTAAAACAGTCCGTTTCGTCTTTGACCAATGCGTGATAATGACCAGATTTAACTCCAGAACTCATTTATGCATGACTGCATAAATATTATAATAGTGTTCTGCTAGATCGAAGTGTTCATCTATTTTGAACTTTCGTAAGAGTTTGTTGCTTCGATCGGAGGTTGAGTCTTGTTTGAAGATCTTCAGTGGTAATTTGAAAGGGTTATAATTTTAGGAGTGACTAATTTTTTGAAAAGAAAGTTTTTGGCTTTCTTCTACTCCATCTCGATACAGAAAAATGTGGAAATCTTTAAAAGAAAGAAAGGAAGTAATCAATTTCAAAAGAAGTAACTGTTCACATAAATGTGCAAAGAAGTAACTTTCAGGCACAAACTGGAAGAAAAAGCCCTTCTGAAACAGCTACTTTCATATTAAAATTGAATTACACGAAAAAAAAATCCTTTCGAAAAAAAATGCTTTTATATGAACACTGACTTATACAGAAAATACTTTTTTATACTCAGTTTGTATTCCAAACATTCGTTATGAAAATGAATCAGATATCATTCACAGGGTTTTTACACAATATACTAAAACAAAATAAAAATTTCACTTACATGGAACACTGTCGTGCTCAGTGGTAGACATCGATGTTTCGCCGTAAGACATCTGCCTTATCGTCTCTTTTGTAGCAATCTGGATAACATACGGAGAAAAAATGAATGAAATATGTGTTTTTTTTGTGGGGCAACAGCTAGCAGTTTATATCTTTACTTTTAAAATATAGTAACTAAAAAAATATGCGAACTGCACTAAGTAATGATTAGCATCGAGAATCGAATTATGTTACCGATAGAGAAGTTTCGCAAATCAACACAATTGTCTGCACTCACGCATCTTACAGTAGACGCGACGCGTAATGACTTACTGCATTTCGTCATTAGTTAATACTCGTCCAAATTTTTTTGTGTGAAAGACGAAGTTCACTTATATTAAATACTTGAAACGAAAATTGTATCATTCTGTGCATTGTGAAAAAAGTATCAAATTTAATTGTATTTATGGCTGAGTATTTTGCATATTGTGGCTACCACATAAGAGGAAGATATATGATATTCCGGACTTTTATTTAGAACTATTTAAGATAAACAATCTTATGGTACATTATCTGCATGTAACTCCAACTGTATAGGCAGTGCACGCCAATATAGCTCCCAGAGACCAAGCATTTTTTCGACTTACTCAATACTTATCGTTATACTCATTATGACCAAAATCACACAAAACATTTGTAAATTGTAGGTTATATGTTTTTCTGATGTACTGTGTCATCCTCAACTTGAAACACTTATTTTGGACAAGAAAATCTCCAGGAAATTGTTTAGAAATATCTATTTTATTTTGATATTTTGCGATTTGATATTATTGAATATTGAGTTTTTGTTACAATACTGTATAATTTTGAGTAATTTTCGGTGATAACAAAAAATAAAAAAACGTATACAGGATGCTGTTTATTTATCGTTTTAGCAAAAAAAAATTCGTAGTTCCAATTTGAAAAAAAATGTTCCGCATTGTTCAATGCGGAACAATGTACTGATGGTGCATGTTCAGTTTTAGGGGATGCACAAACTTTTATCAGGAATAACTTCTTGTCGAAAAACCCTTAATAAATAAGTTTCTCATATGGTGCATAATTTGGGGATGACACTGTATAAGCTGTATTTATATGAAGTTTCGCCTGAAACCATTCATTCATTTAGGCCTGAAAGAGCCACATACATACATACATACCTTTATCCATCCTCTCAAACTTTCACATTTATAATATTAGGGTATAGATATTCTCGACCTTTTGGATGATTCATTTTGAAATAAATTGCTTTCTTCCTTCCCACAATTAGTATCATTTTTTTTAAATATTGTTGATCTTCATCCCTAATGGGTATATTACATGTTAGATAATTAAATTGTACTCACTGTTGTATTCCAATTGAAACTCAATAATTCTGTGTCCTACTAAAATACAATCGTGTTGTGTAAATGTGTAAGTTGCGGATATTGCAATCAAATTGAAAGAAAAATAAATCGAAATCATCACAGGCATCTTTAATCAGCTATACATTCATTTCTATACGTGAATGAATCATCAGAAAAAGTATTTTTCAGGAATCATTTCTTCAGTTTCAGCTGTCTCTCGATATCACTTATATATTGTTCGGGGAGGTTATGTTCCCTGTAAGAAACAAAAGGTCATGAAACACAAAACAAAAGTCATGAATTTAGGTCCGGTACTCTGCCCTTCTGTTGAAAAGGTGATTATTAAAAGTCTCCACTTTGTGAAATTGATTACGTTACATTACGTTACATTGAACTTTTTTATGGGTATATTAATGATCGTGTCAAAGAGGATGGCTTAGATTAATTGATTTTATAAAAATTCATAGAACAATAATAGGTTAACAATCTGTTCGAAATTGAATATATTCGATTGTCAATCTGTCATACCGTTGAATCAGGCTAAGATACGCCCTCTTTCAAACATGATCAAATAGTAAGTCATCGTATCGAATTGAAAGATAATTTCTGATGAATTTAATTGAAACAGGACATGAAGTACCGGCTCTTGAGTAACAAATGAACAATAATGCTCATCACTATAGAAGTGCAAAAAAATATAAAATTACTTCAATTTCTCCATTTTCAGTTTCAGATAATCTTCCACATTACGGTCTTTGACCTCAAATTCTAGCCTTTGGGCTTTTCCATCTTCGAACTTCTCCTGTTGCCAATTGATCCTTTCCCTTTCTTTTTCGTTTATTTGTTTCAGCAATTCTTTTCTGTGTTGAGCGATCTGCTCCTTTTTCTTTTTCTGTTCTTCCAAATCTTTTTCAAAAAGTTCTCTCTGCACCTTAGCGACCTGCAGGAATAATGGAGAATGAAGTCACCAATATTCACTAACTGAATTTCATTGTTTCAAAATGCATGTATGGGACTGAATGATTTGAAACACTTTCTTCTCCTGATTGGAAATCCACGATTAAAATCATTAGGAATGAAGTGTAATATCTCATCACAATTTGGCCATCCTACTTTGAAAGTCATATTTGCGAAACCATGGGAACAATATTTTTTTTCGATAAAATTTCAATTATGAAATATACATTTCTTCTGAATGTTTCAATATATTATCTAGATTGAGACCAAAAAATTCGCATTGGGTGAGTATTTCATATATTTGTTATACGAAGTTTTCTGAAAAATTAATGATAATACTTTGAAGCTATGATAATATTTAATTGATAATTTGAAATATCAATGATCCTCTCAGAAAAGCATGACCTTGATATCTCTTCTGAAATTCACCCACAAAACAATTATTCAACATTTAATATGTCGAAACTGATTTGAAGAAAATGAAGAAATTTTCTGGGATCTCAGATACCAACATATTGAAGTTTGACATAATAGATATTTTTCAAAAAGGACCTACCGGTAATGGTGAAGGAAGAAAACTACTGAAAGTGTGGAAAGTGTAGAAGGAATTGAATTGTTTCCGATGCTTCAAAATGCTTTGCAATTATTCCTACCTTCATGAAGTCTTCTTCATCTCTTGCAAGGGATACAGCTTGGGCTTTTCTAATATCTTCGATTTGTTTAGCTCGAGCCGCCCTCAGATCCGATATTATTTCCAACTTCTTCTTTGCAGCGACCTTCTCATTTTCTCTCCATTCTCGTTCTTTCTATAAAACAAGAAATTAATTCGTATGCTAACAATCACCATTTGAGTATTTTCCATGTTTTACAAGTAAATATTTTCGGGAAATTTCCAGTCTCCAGTTTCCATTCATTCTTTTGAGCGAAACCAGCTTTCTCTGGTCTCCGGAATCGGATATGTTCTGCGTGTTCTCTCAAACGAGCTTTGAAGGCTCGCCTAATCTGACCGATATATTTTTTGTCACAGTCTCCCAACTGATTCCGCATACATCCCCTACTATTTGAACTATTTAAAAATAGTTTCAAGTGAATGTCTCTTTGAAAAAGAGATATGAATAGAGACCGGTGTTATAGTTGAAAATTTGTATTGTTCATCTCCTGAAGACGACAACTTGGTTGGTGAAACGGCGTCGAGTGGAGTATTGCAGTTCTGGTGTATGGAAAAAGAACTTGTTTTGGGTTCATTCTACGCTAGAGATTCCAGTTTTACCTGCTAACGGTTTGAAAAAAAAAACCATGAACCCAGTAAGTTTTTTCTGTTTTTTTTTTCGATACTTTCGCAAAGTAGGCATTGGAGTTTCTGTTGATGAAAATGGTCTTTTCGAAATTCATTCAACAAATACTGATAATGAAATAACAAGATAGGCTTTGATTTGTTTGCTCAATGAAGATTCAAATGAATTACAGTAAACAAAAAAAAATAAGAAATGCATGTTTCAGAGTAAGATATCAATATATGGAAAGACGAAAATTTTGGAAATGAAAACCCTTGGGCGAACTTTATGATATTTTCATCTACTTTTTTGAGAATTTTTTAAATTCATATGTAGCATTGAATGATATTTGAATTCAAAGAGGTATATTTTTAGGAGAGAATATTCTTTGGAAAATATTTTGGCTTTCTACTTTTCCATATTTATTCAAATGTGGAAATCTTTGTATGAAGTTGGGGAAGTTGAATGCCAATATCTTATTCTCAAAAATAATCTCTACTTAATAATGTAATTTTCACAAATGACGAAATATCCTTTTGTACTGGATGTATAGATAATATCGAAAATTTTTGCGAAAATCGAAATCCATTCAAATATTTCTTCTGATTGATGATGAAAACTTCATGATTATTATCAATGTCAGTTACAATTGTGAATACTAAGGATTATGACAACCTCTGAATAAAATGAATTGACTTTGGATATTACACTTACAAAGTAATCTCATGCATTTGAAATTTTTATCACAAAATTTACAGAACACTTCAGTGACCTTTCGTCTTGTACAAAATTCTGATGGATTTTTATTGTTTTAAAGTGTCGTGAACTCATTATATTCAATCAATATTTCCGTCACAGAAAAATTTTGTTTTTTGACTGAATTTTCAATGGGTTCAGTTGAGTTAGGTTGAAACTGAGTGGGTTTATTCTACTCTCCACCGCAAACCGCAAGGGTTTATTGTGGCCTATACACACTCGACCAAATCTGCTTCTCAACGAAGCCAATTTTTATGGTGAATGGTCTTTCAGGTTCAGATGGTAAGAGTGCAGTTCTATCAAACTCTAAACACCTGATTTAGTCCCCAGCGGGGCACGCACTAGGTATATGCTCTAATCTGTTTGAAATCTGTTTTTCCGTTAACCAGCTGTCGTACCCCTACAAACGACAACCCTCAGAAGTC